ATACAGCAAGCTCTCTCGCGTCTTGGTGACCGCGTAACCATTCTGGAGGATAGACTTGCAGCGGCTCGTCGAGGGTGGCATAACAAGTGTACAGTCCAGATGCCACGTGAAACATCCTTCCTGTTTAAGCTTGATGATTAGCACTGCTACTCATCTTTTCTCTCAGATGTGAGAGCTACGCTGAGCAAGGCACTTCGGTGCATAGGTGTCCCTTAAAGGGCATTCGTGCCGCTGCTTCTAGCAGCCGACTCGCAAATGCGAGCTGACCGGCGCCCGCAGGACGTGAGACCTCTCCCGCCGCGAGTGAAGAAGATGATGGCAGGATGGTTTTGTGGTGGATGGTTGGCTTTAGTTGCTACCTCACAGGCTGTTGTTTATACGCTGTCGTTGGGGTTTTTTGCACATTACCACCCAAAAATCGGTATGTTATTTGCGGTTTGCTGCCATATGAGTTGTGTTGCCGATCCAATTTTTATTTTGTTTGCTTAGTATCTTTAGTGTATTCAAAGGGGGAAACCTCCGGAAACCCGCATGTTCAGTATGCTAAAAATTGGATATGTTAAATGGGTAGTTGGAGAAAATCCAACCAACTTGAATTTTTTTGTTTAGTTCTTTTTGAAACCAGCAAATGTATAACAACATATTATGCATGTTTTCATTAAAATTTTCATGATATAACGATATATCTGATGTGTTTAGCAGCCCTGCCCTGCCCTCCTCCTCCCCCACTCACGCCCTGCCCTGCTCACTTGGCCGATGTTTCTTCTTGCCCGCCTGTTTGCATATCTGTTTTTACAGCGAGCTTCTTGCGAATGTGCAGAGAAGTAGCATCCAAGAGAGACTTTCAGGGGCTCATCGACCGGATCCGGCGCTGGGCGATGTTCGGCAATGCGGGCGGCCTGGGCATGCCTGTGGGGTAAGAAGCCGGTGCTGTCCATCACAAAGATTCAGCGCTCTCATTGCGAAAATCTGAAGCGTTCAGGTCGATGCAGTGCTTTGGATTGACTATGCGAAGGCCGCGGGACTTGGTGCACTCGTCAGTCAGGGGCAGGTTGGGCTTTCAGTATGTTAGAACGCGTTAAGATCATGCTACAGGTCACGTAGGTTGATTCGGATGCTGTGAGATTCGACCCGCACATGCTGGAAACCCGAGCGCTGAAGACGCCGCTAAATTGTTGACCTCGGCTATCGTTGAGCCTGTAGTACGCATAGTTGCTGTTATCCGTGGGGGGGCATGAACAGGGACAACGATGCAAAGGGTCTTTGAAGAAGCTGCGCATGGCTTTGAATACGCTTGCTTTTAGTGTATCAGTATCACGAGCTCACATCTCACTGTCCTGTTGGCCATTGGCATCGACGCACGCGGGATTTCAAACAATCACTTTACCCGCGTGCAACATCACGCCTTCTAGCACTCTTGAGACATCTTCTGCTTGGTTGTTGCGCTGTGTTACGTTGTGGAAGGCGAACCAGCCTCCCGGCTCATTCAAGATGGGACCTCGGGAGTCAAGGCCTTTCAGCCCAGCGCACATGCAGGCTGGGATTTTCTGTTCATGGGAGCTGCCCGTGTCCCCGCTGCTGAGCTCAGATCTGCAATGATCTTCCAGACTCACTTCGCCTGGAAGATGCAAACGACGAGTCTGAGGCATGATCCGGAACAGATGGCCTTTGCCGTTTAAATTTCTGCATTGCCACCATGACTCTATGTCCTTTTTGTGTCTTCGAAGATTCACTGGCAGGCCGCCTGGAGCGAGCAGGAGCCGGACGAAGACAGACATCATGGAGGCAGGCACAAAGCAAGCCCGTCTGACGTCTGCAATTCCTTTGGAGTGAAGTCGATGGCGCTTGAATGCGGTCGCGAGATCCATGTGGAGGCTTACCACCTGTGTCGTCATCTGGCTTCGATCAGGCGGGTTTCCTTGGTATGCTACCGCTATGTCATCACGAGTCATCAGGTCTCTTGAACAGGCCCGTTTAGGCTACTCATCTTGTGGTGCCGTGTTGTTGGAATTGAATTGCGTGCGTTTGCTGCCTTCGACAGCCGATACCAAGAAGAGACCAGCAGATGCGAGCCAAAGCATGAAAGGCCCACACAGATCAGTTGAACAACCAGCCGCGGGAGTCTGGCTCTCAGTCTATCAGCGCTGCCTCGGATACGTCACTGCAAGCGACACGGAAGTCTGTATTTCTGAGACCCGGCACTCTACGGCCCCTACCTCCACGGAGGCTCCGGCCTGCCATGCCTCGCCGCTCCACCGCTACCGCTACCGTCAGCAATCTTAGTGCAGGCTTCCGAAGCACATTCATCGCACACGCCCAGCCTACCTGTCTCTGCCCCAGTTCGAAGAGCCTTCTCGCTTGCTGGGCCAGTGTCCGTGATGTAGCTGCAGGCTGTACATCGGGGCAAACGAGATACAGTGATGTTGCCAGCGTCCTTGAACTGCTGATTTAGTGTCGAGGTTGGGTCAAGCGCTCAAGACGATGCGTGCAACTTAACCCGAAATGCAGACTAACTAGGCGCCAGGCAGGCTTGAGAGCCTGGCACAAGCACTTACAGCCAACGGCCTAGGTGCAATGCCCCCGAGAAGGAGGAGGTCACGGGTACTTCTTCATGTGCTCGGTCGGCAGAATGTCTTTCTGATCAGATGGCCATGGCTGTAAAGATCGTCCCGGCTGACGGCAAGGAGTGGCAGCACTGAGAGTCCCGTGTCTGGCACCACCAGCTTGACGAAACCCTGAACCCTCCTCGTGGACACCTCTGCCACACGATAGATTTACAGCACCTGTCAGGAGAAGCCCAGCGACAAAGCCAAGGAGGTGCTCCGTTAGATCGAAAGCTCCAGACTTAAAGCGTGGTCTTTGTTTGGTGCCGGCCTCCGTTTGGTCGCTTCATCCATCTCGGAGTCTCGAATCATGACCGTATACGTTCCGGTGCCTGAGCATTTTTTCAGGAGATCGGGGTCCTTCGCACAAGAGCCTCTGCAGGCCGAGAAGGAGATGTTGCGCATTCAGCTTCAGGAGGAGTTCGTCCCGGTGCCAGGCACAGCTGCTCTGAATACGAGCACCGTTGTATCGAAAGCCTTCCTGGCAGACTGACAGGCAGCATCTATCAACGCTCCATTGTTCCAGGCCCAGGCTCCCTTCTTCCTTGTCGTGTAGGCGTAATCTTCCATCTTGCAGTTCCCAGCTTTGCGGATTCCGGATGCTAGGCTATTACGGCTCGCCAAAGGTCCCCGGGCACGTGACACAGGCGCACACCCCTTCCTGGCCTCAAAGCAGAGTTTGCTTGCATCGAGTGACCTTCTTCCGAGGAGGCAGCGACTTTTGGCCGGAAGACCGTGCCTCAGACACCGGAGGATTCAGTAGATCAGCACGGGCTTCCTTCCACCCTGAACGTCACGACCTGAAGCTGAGGGGACTGAGTACTTTTGATCAGATCAAGGACTTCGCTGCAAAGTTGCCGGCGCCTGAGTATCCCCCTCCACTCTCGACTAACTGAGAGATGGTCAGCGGTGACCTGTCGAGGCCGGGTCCTGGGCAATACGAGGAGAAGGCTCGTAGCCGCGTAAGCCGCGTAGCCTTGAGCGATCTTTTTCGGATATTGCTGGTTGACTCGCAGCATGAGTTTGGCTGTAGAGGGTTCTCGCTTCTTAGTCGTTCTGACAGCAAAAAGCGTTTGGGAACTCTCGAGGCCGGCCCCGTGAGCCTCCGTGCATGTTTGAAGCTCTTGAGCAGCCCCTTGGTGACCCCAGCTATGATTCATTCCCAGGCTCTCTTGGACGTCATCAATGTTTCAAAACCCTCATGACAAAACTTCTACCCGTGTTTCTTTTTGAGTCATTGCTCGGGCAGCGCATTGCAATGTCAGAGGAGGTGTGTGGTACAGAATGCATTCTTGCATTACTTAAATGGAGACTGAAAACATATCTCAGGCTTCGACGACCGATGAGAAGGTGTCCAGAGGCAATAAGCGCGGTGCTTGACACGATGCCGTTATGAAGGAGTGACACGAAGAGTGTGCCAAGGACGCCAAGGACCGGCTGCTTCGGCAAGTCGCCCAAGCTGGTGAGCCGGGAGGAGAGCGAGAGCGACACTTGCGATCTGGCTTTGCAGCCGGCACCTTGCGATCAGGAGGCCTTCAAGAAGCTTCCCTTCATCTCCAAGCTCGCCTCGGCCTGTGAGGCTCGGGGCTCGGGGGTCGCTTTCCGCTCGGACGCGGCACGTGTGCCAGGGCTTTGGGCTGCACAGCTCGGAGACCTTCCACTGCGTGAACCCGGAGGATGTGCCAACTGCCTCAGTTATCCTCCGCTCAGCCAAGCAATCAAAGCAGCCTTGACAGCCCAGGTGTAGGCTCCCCAGGTATACCAAGCAACCCGAGCTGCGACCTTACGCAAGCCTTGGGCCTCTCCGCTCCTCTGCATCGCTATGTGGCGCGATCAGGTTTTCTTTCGGAAAGACTCGGCGGCCGTTCTGAGCCTTTGCCCCTCCATGGTCCTGCGGCTCCCGGACCCGGTCTTTGACTCGCCGCCTTGTGGCCTTGTACAGTAAATGTTTGGAGAGTCGGGATGCCCTCCTGCGACAGATTGTTGCAGCCCAAGCCACAGCCTGCTGAATCTGCTGAGTTTAGACTTCTTCGGCAAAAGTTGGAATGCGTTGGGAGTATTCAGCAGAAGTATGTATTGGTGTTTGGTCAGTGGCACGGTGGGCTCCGTGGGCGCTGAATCAGGTGCCACACGAGAGCTCACCAAGCTACAGGTTTCTTAGGAGCTTTGGTCAGGCTAGCGGCCAGTGGTGAGTGGGCTGACAAAGGGGAGTTGACTCTTCTCTCTGTCGGCGAACTGCCTCGCACCCTCGTCTCTGTCCACTGAATGTGGACGGTTCTTGTCTCACCGAGCGCCGTGACAATGTCAAGATGACTGGAGCGCTTGAGACAGGTCCCACACCTTATACTGTAATCGTTACAGGCTGCCATTAGCGAATCGTGGGCCGTTTCGCGGCAGGCTGGTGAGGTCCTTGCTTGCGCATGCCGACTGCCAAGCGCGGCAACCTCACACTGCCGTGCCTGGAAGAATTGCAATGGAAGCCGTACGGCAGAGACCGCTCTCCTTCAGACCAGGCTTCGGGTGGTCTTCGCTTCTTGGAGGTGCTTCTTGCGGATTCCGTGGGGAAGTTGTGAGGGTCCGAAGTGGCCTGGGCAGGGGTAGCCTGCAAGCCAGATTGCAGCGCTGCGCAGGGCACACGGCAGCTCGTGCGTTGGTTTGCTTGCTAGCTGTAGCATGTGGTGCCACGGGGTATCTGAGCCGTCGAGGTGGTGACGAGAAAGCTGGAGGAAAGGCAAGCAGCGAGCGCTGTGGCACGGCTGCACCGAGAAATCCTGCTCTGCACATCCATCACGGACTTGTGCATCTCAGGCCCGAAGCACCCTCCTCGCATGGCGTGAGATCAGCCGATGGGGTGCCTGTGCCCCGTGGGCTGCAGAGAGCCCGGGCAAAGGGACGACAGGGATGTGTCTTCTGAGGCACAGCCCAGTGGGACGCTGCAGCCTCTAGGGAAAGAAGGTCTGCCCTCGTCAGAAGGGGGAAGGGCTCAGCCCCAGCGCGAGCTGTATTGAGAAGGACTGCACGTGCAGATCGCATCGAGATGCCTGCTCACAGGTGTACTTGCCCTCCGTGCCTTCCTGTGCTGGGCTTCTGGGGTCTCGCACCAGCGGTGCGCCCACCGGCTCTAGCGGGCTAGATTCTGCCCAACACGTTTGCTGTACATTCTTCAGACTTGCAGGGAGGGTCGCCAAGCTGCAGAAGCTTGTGCAGTGATGGCCGACAGACTAGGCGCGTGCCTGAGGTGTGCGTGCCTGGCGTGCCTGAATTGGAGCGCCTGCTCGTGGGTTTCTGGTGCCGTCGCAGGCAGCGCTTTGCTCCGGCCAGCGTTCGGGGGCTGGAAAGGCCGCGTGTGCCAAATGACCGGCAACCGACGGCTCGCCTGCACCGGGACCGCTGCGGCCTCGGCGTGCAGAGCTTCGGGGGGGGGGGGGGGGGGCCTTTACTGTCTTTTAGGACCTCGGCCTCGGTATCATTTCTTCTTGGAGTGAAACTTTGCAACTGAGCTCGAGGTTGGAGTCGGTTTCGTTTTTCGTGGCTGGCAGTCCGAGACCTTTGGAAGGCGCGGTGGTTGAGTGCAGGCACACCTCCTGCGAGGCCCGAGGCCCCTTGAGCTCCCCGTGGCTTTTGCTGGGAAGAAGTGTGTGTCACCAGTCTCGTCCTGCCAGATATTCAGTGTTGGAGATGCGCCGCGCCCATGCATCTGAGGCTTGGACTAAGCTGGAATCGGTTCTGTCCTTGACTCTGACTCCAGCTCACAGTCAGTGTGAAAGCCCGTCGATTTGCATTCTCTTTGCTAGTCGGCTTCTTTCTCTTGTGCCTCAGACAAGAACAAAGCACGCTTGTGCTAGCACAGTCTAGGCAATCCACGCTCCAAACTCATGACCTAAATCCAGCACAGCCCAGCCCATCCCTCCTTGCAGAACAGGATGTGCCGACCTCAGTGCTAAAGCCGTGACATGGTCCGTTCCCTTCAAGCTACTTGCGGATGTTGATATGGAGGATAAATGGAAGCGCTCGGCTACAACGTCACTGGCTTTCGGCTCGGAGCGGATTTGATTCCTGGAACAGTTCTCCAAGCCTGCACATGTGCAAGTCGTCCACAGTCGAGGCGATGACAGCCTGGCATCGCCGGGCGCAGCAGTCTTCGAGCCCGCCTGAGTTTCGGCTCGGCTGCGGAGCGGAGAAGCCGCTTCGAAGCGGATCGCTTAAGTGGCCTTGAGGCGCCTGCGCTTGAGCTTTTCGGCAAAGGAGCTCGCCTTCCAGAGGCTGGTCTTAGGCCCGGCCGGTCGGAGCCAAGAAGGAGACAGGTCAGACAAGCGCAGAGAACTTTGCCGCCTCCAATCTCCAGCCACTTCGCGCTGCGCAGCTTGAGCCAACTCGCCCCAACCGCAGAAGCTTCGTGCGCTTGAGCACACTCTGCCCCCCCCACTTCACCAAGTCCGACTCCCCGACCCTGGTCTTAAGAGTCACAGCCATTCACAGCTCTCCGCATCTTTTCGCCGTCGGCCCATGGCCTCCGGGGGCGCCTTGGGCTACCTCGGCCGGTGTCGAGGCTGGGCCGCCGAGCTGAGAGCTGAGCCAAGCCACGAAACCTCGCCGTCGCCTTGCGCGTGCAGGAGTCGAAGTCTTCGAGAAGCTGAACCGGCTGGGCCAGGGAAGCTACGGCACAGCCGCTTGGATCCGCTGTGGGCTTTGGTGTGGCATTTCGGAGTGCTGGGACACTGGAGGTTTATCGTGCCAGGGATACTGAGAACGGCGAGATCGTGGCCCTAAAGAAGGCCTGGAGACTCCACGAAGATCCGGGTTTAGGCAGTCGCAGGTTCATACCTGGTCGACTAAGTTTTGCAGAAGGTCATCATCCATGCCGAAAAGGAGGGCTTCCCGAAGAGCTCCCTTCGTGAGATCCGGCTGCTTAAACGGCTCCTAGGCTGCCGCTCGAAGAGGACCTATTCGCAGCTGACACTTGCAGCCAGTTTGCAGCTTCTGCCGGAGCTTTATCTCTGGCACTTGTAAGGCTGCGGCACCCGAACATCGTGGAGCTGCGTGAAGTCGCATGTGGAAGGCGGATGAGCTTGAAAATTGAAAGCGCTGAAGATCATAAGATATCATAAGACTCCCTCCTGCAGGCAGCCAGGAAGCGTCTTTCTCGTCTTCGAATACTGCGAGCATGATGTTGGCGCACTGCTCGATACTGGGCTGAAAAGATCTTGCTGAATGCCTTAAAGAGCTTTAGAGGCTCCCACCGCGGGCTCGGCACGACCTGCGGTATGATCCGGGTGTTGGGCTGGGGAAGGGCACGTTGGCTAGGCCTCAAAGAGGCCCAGCGATCTGGTGCAGGTGGCAAGGAAGCTTTGTTTTGCGATTGTTTCATTGAGCTGGGAATCGGGAGCCGCCACAGTGATTCAAGGCCGTTTGAACCACTTGACACCTGAAAAGTGGATAACCCCGGCATGTTCAAGTGGCATGCCTCTCTTGCCCATCTTCAAAAGCACTAGCGTATAACACTGGGACGGTTCAGGGGTGGGCGCCACTTGTGCCACTACAGGGTCTAGGGTTTGCGGTCTTGGGGGTTTAGGGTTTAGGGTTTCCGTGTTTTGGGTTTTGGGGTTCAGGGTTTGGGGTTTTGGGTTGAAGAGTGTACGGTTTAGGGGTCCCGGGTTTTGGGTTGTCTAGGTGCTATTGTTTTGTTACTAGTACTAGTACTGTCACCATTACTGCTCCCAGTACTACTGAAGGCCTCACGGAGTGCAAGTGGCACAAGTGGCATTGGCACAAGTGGGTAAAACAGCGAGGAGTTCAAACAGCACAAGCAGGGCAAGTGGCGCAAAACAGAGGGGGGGCGGGGGGCGTGTATGGACTCGTTCAAGTGGATCAAGTCGTGAAATGTCGGGTTTCAGATTGCGACTCCCGTTTCCAATTCTTGCTTTGAGGATACCCCCGCGCAACAATTGTCAAGGGATAGGAAATGAACTAGAAGGGTCAGAGGAAAAGCTATGTTACGGTCCAGTACGGTCCAGGGGATGTTCATCAATAGGGGGTAAAGAAGAAGGCTAGGCGAAATAGAGAGAGGTTCAGACTGTATGCAGGTCATTACTCATGGGTGGGTGTTTTGTCGGGTTTTCGCACGTGACGTGTGCAGTAGCACCAGGCTTTTGGAAGCCCCACGATTGAGGACAGATTTTCGCGAACACATGCGACTTGTTTAAAGTCGTTCCCTGTGCTTGTTCCAAGGATCTTATGGAGCGGCCTTTCAGCGAGGCGGAGGTGAAATGCCTCACGCTCCAACTGCTCAAGGAGGGAACGCAGCTGACATGTCCAAGAGTATGGCCATGATGGTCATAGAGAAAACATGAGTAGCACTGCACACATGATGAAGTGCTGAGGCGGTGGAATGCTTACACGCAGCGTTTGTGATCCACCGCGACATCAAGCTTTCAAACCTCCTCTTGAGCTCCGGCCAAACGTCCTTTCTCAAAGCAAAGTCAGCTTTGCTCAACCAAAGAGTCGCCTGAAAGGGAGAATGTGGACAATGAGAAGCGAGGGAGGCGAGTTGATTTTTGCGCCATCAGCTTTGCAGTGTTGTTTGCCAACTAGACGGGCAACCAGTTCAGACTCCTGCGTCAGAAGATCAGTCCTTCCGTCCGTCGGTCCGGCACACAGACAGATCAGACAGTTTGTCGGTGAGTCCTTGAGGAACAACCGGGGCGTCCTGAAATTGGCGGACTTCGGCTTAGCAAGGCGGTCTCAGTGGACCCAGTCATGTGTGCTCGCTTGCAGAAAGATCAGAATGCCACCCGTTCCATTGCCTTGTTGCAGGGAGTTCACGGATGTGCAGAAGCCGGTCACATTGAATGTTGTGACGCTTTGGTACCGGGCGCCAGAACTGCTTCTTGGTGCCCAGAGCTACACCATGGCAGTAGACATGTGGTCCGTGGGCTGCAACTTTGGGGAGCTCCTTCTCAAGCGGCCGCTGCTGCCAGGCCAGTTTTTTCTTAAGTACAGGCATGCGGCATGAAGAAGGGTGGTGACGTTTGGTGTGCTTGAAGGAAAGTTCGAGGAGCACCAGCTGCAGCTGACTTGTGCTCTACTCGGAACCCCCTCGCCGCGGATCTGGCCTGGGCTTGAGCGCCTGCAGCACTATGGGACCTTCAAACTCCCCGAGAACACTTACAACAACTTGGGCGACAAGTTTCCTGACATGCCGGACAGCTGCAACTTGGCCTTGAACAAACCGAGCCGGTTCCAGCTATCGTCAACAATGTCATGAGCGCGACGATATGCAAGACAACGGAAGTATAAGGTACTGCAGAGCGTAGGTAAAGGCCTGCAATTGAGGAGAGCCGTGCTGTCGAAAGATTTGTCGTGTGACTGTTGCCGTTCCCATTTCCACATTGATTCCCGGGACCACAGGGCACTCACTGCATTTCAGGTCTGGACTTGCTGAACCGCGCCCTCACCTTCGACCCAGCGAAGCGTGTGACGGCAGCACAAGCCTTGCAACACCGCTGGTTCCAAGAGGCGCCAGCGCCGCAGGAGCCGCACAACATGCCCACCTGGAAAGAGCACCGCCGCTGGGACAAAAAAGAGGCACTGGAAGACTCCTCTGAGTTAGTCTTTTTCTTTTGTGTGCTTTTATGCTTTCTCTTTATTCGCGATCCGGTCCGAGGCAATGAGACGGCGAACCCGCGTGCCAACCCGGGCCCGGTGCCTCTTGGCGTGGGCCCAGGGAAGCGTCCCGTGCCACTCGTGGCGCGGTCTGCGGTTTTCGCAGCAGCGAAGAAGATGAAGTCCTGCGTCTTCTGAAAAAGCTGGAGTTTCGTTTTTCCCAGAGCAGGTGGCACGCGCATTTACAGCCCTCATGAGATCTGATGTGTTGCAGCTGTGCAGGTGCTTGGCGATTGGCGCTTCCCGATCTTCAGCCAGGTGCTGGGTCTGGCTGCAAGGTTTGTTTGGTTATCCTGTGCGATGTGTTGGCCAACACGTGCGATCGCCCTTCGGCCGTTAAGCTCGAGCCGTAACGGACCATGAAGCAGCCGCCAGAAGGAGTTGCAAGGCTCCTAGCCGTCCTAGCCCTGTGCACTGCACCTGGTAGCTCCTGTTCCGATCGAAGCATTCGATTAAAATCTTCTGAAGTTTCGCATGAACCAACCGTGCGTGCTGCCTTCCAGTCTCCGTGGCACTAAGTGTTTGTCATCGTTAACTTGACTGCTTGACATGATTCGACCGCCTTGGCATTTGCTGGATTCGTAGGCACTGTTTGAAGGAAGAGTCGCAACGTGCCCGTGCCTTTGATCCGAGCTTGAGGCATCGATGCGGAGGCCGTGGACGATGTTTTGCAGCTTGGCAGAGTCTTGTGTGGCGAGACCGAGAGTCGGTTCAAGCCACGTCACGCGCGCACGAGGTATCTTTTGCCTCCTGCTGCCTGGGACGCAGGCCTTCGGAGAACAGCAGCACCCTCAGAAGCCTTGTGCTGGCACACCGACACGGGAAGTCGAGCAAGAGCACATCCATGACTGCGAACACATGTGAGGCCCAGATCGGCCCTGAACAAGACTGAACCTTATCTGCGAAAGGCGATGGATACTCAAGAACAGCTTCCTGAAGTACAAGCAGAATCCGTCCTACTGCGTGAGTCTGCTGGGGCACCTAGCCAACCGGTCTGCTTTAGGGCCATTTGGATCCGAGGTTTTCAAGCATTCTGCTTGTCGGGCGTTTGTAGCGGTGGAGTTGCGACTGGGTGCACTCTGTGCATTGCTTTATGTTTTGGTCCGACGCGAATCGAAGAATCTCAAGAGAGAGAAGATGCTGCCAGCGCACAATTCAGCATACCTCAAGGACTCAAGGCCTCAGGCTGCTCACGTCAGGGAAGAGCGGCAGTGCATGGAATGAACATTTTCTCCAAGCCTGCATGGACCGGTGACCGGATGCATCAGGCGAGAAGGCAAGGTAGCCAACGGCCGCCGACCGAGTTGGTCCTCATGTTCATCTTCAGACCCGTTCACGAGGGGCTAGTCGGGTAGAGCCGAGACAGAAGGCTTCGGTGCCCTCAGAGTTATGGGAAATCGGGGGCTGGGTGAGGCGTGGATGTCATCTTGTGGCATTGTGTGGGAGCCCAAGAATCAGACAAGCTGGAACAAGTCAGCAATCGCAGTAAGCACTTGTTGCACCTGCACTTTTCGTGGACTCGGCTGCCAAGAATCCAGATGCAGAGCACAAATTTAAAGTCGCGATCTCAGTCGTGAGCCAGTGTATCAGTGTGGAAGCTACTGTTTTGATGGAGCCAGTCGACATGGGCAAGTGTCAGGGGTCCTGCAGAAGTAATCGTGGCATCTGATTGAAGCCGGTGATGTGAGGTTAATGGCAATTACATCCAGTACGAGGCGCCAAAGCACATACCCCTGTTCAAGCCCCTCAAGAGTGGCCCGTGAGTGGCCTAGCCACTGCCCTCACTGCGGAGGCCGACCCCTCCTATTGCCTGGGCGTGCGCGAGGGCAAGGCCGGCGGGCGCGCGGGCGCGCGCATCCCGGGCGTCTTCTTTGCTTTTCGTCCTCCTTGGAGATCGGCGACGGCTCTGACATCATCCTTTGGAAGTGTGCTGAGACCCCGGAGTTCCACTGGGCCTTCCCTACTCGCTTGGAGGGCACCCAAACCCAAAGCAGTGGGAGAGCCACGCGACACGGCCAGGAAATGGACGGCGAGTTCATCAAGTACAAGGCGAATCCGAGGTTTGCGATGGTAGTGCCGTCGGCCCAGTGACGAGCCAGAATGGAGCCGCAGAAGAAATCAACATTGGCAGCTTTAAAGGCGCAACGACAACCCAATGGATGGTGCAGACATCATCCTTTGGACGGTGGTCTTCTCCTGAATACGGCATGCACTTCTGGTCGCCGATCTTGGAACACACCTGAACGAACTTTGCATTTCTTGAGGGTGGCATGAACGACAAATGGTCGTTCGATGGTCCAGAACTTGGATGGCCGTCTTCCTGCCTATGACGTGTTTACCCTGACATACCGTGACGGTATTCTAGAGGTTCCAAGTAGTGATGATGATCGGAGAGACTACCCGAGTTGTTGGCAAAGTTTCTGCCAGGGGTGCAACTGTGCTACAGGCAAACTCATCAGAATGGAGACGGACCGCAACAAGTGTTTATCGGTTCGCCCCGGGCTTACTGTATTCACTGTATTCAGTAACAAGATTCTGCTATTGAACGCACGGCAAGCCGATCTAGGTCCGACGTGTAAAGTGTCCAGATCCTGCAACCTTCGGTAAATCCATTGTGTTCTCGCCGGGAAGGGGTGATTGGGCCAAGATGGAGCCTGGGTGCACACAGGGTGCGAAGGGCATTGCAACAGGCCTTCCCGCGGGCGAGGGCAGCAAAGTGTATGCCGACAAGTGTGGCAACGGGGTGCGGAGCCTAACCAACCTCTGAGATCCTTTGGGACACTTTGAGTCCATGCCCTGACACACGGAGGGCACAGCAGTGAGATGGTCCAGAATCGGCAGCCTGATCCGCTGGGAGACAAACCCCAAGCCTAAGCCTTGGCACTGGGATTTGCTGCGCAAAGCTGTTGTCCACGAGTGGCTTTTCCAGGTATTGCCTGTCCATTCGGCAAGGGCATATCATGGTCGGCACCTCCTTTGGCTCTGCGCAGCACCGAAGCGGTTGCCCTTTGCTGCCCGAGGACGGCGAAGATGTCATCCTGTGGAGTTGTGCGGAAACGGCTGAATTCCAATGGGAGGCTGCAGCATGATGGGGCGTGTCTCTGCGACTCAGCAATCTCGGGCATTTGGCAGGTGTCAGGGAGCTTCATCAAGCACAAGGAGAATCAGGACTTTTCACACGGCTCCGATTGCCTTTGAGAATGCAGCCTTCCAACATCACTGTCTGAGGACTACTGCCTCTCGGTGCGCCTGCCTCTCATCTGGTACCGCCCGAGACGTGTCAGACTTCAACTTCAATCCTTCGGCAAGTCAAGTTCGTAAAGTACTGCAGCCGGAAGGTGAGACCAGTGGCTACAAGGCCGCGGCCGATGCCGTGATTTGGTCGTGCCAGGCGGGCCCGTACGCCCGGGTGGCAACCTTTTTTCAGCCTTTTCCCAATCGTTCCGAATCCTTCAGAACCCAACTCCCACGATCGGATTGCAGCCTTGCAGCATCTCGTGAGGCTGTTGAGCCGCTCGGACTGCCGGTATCGGCTGACCAGAGGTGCTCTCATGTTGTGGCTGCGGAATGCAAAGACTTTGCACCGTTTCCTAAGGTTTATGGAACGAAGTGTCCGCTCGTACCATGCCATAAGCCAGATGGCTGTCATGCGTCATCTCTCCCGAGGTATCACTGAGGCAAAAACCCACACAGTTTAAGCACACATGAGTTTGCTGTGGCGTTTTAGCAGGGTGAGGGGGCATTGAGCTTTTTGAGTGAGCCTCCTTTATGATCCTTCTGTGGGATGTTCTCACGACCGTGTGGTTCATCATGAGGAGGGAGGGCTGTTCGACGGCTGTTACTCTGTCTTGAGCAACCATCTTGCCAGACAACAGACCATGGCTGACGAGACCGGGCCTTACAAGCCAGATGTGCAGGCTTCTGGTGCTCAGTCCAGCAGCATTGAGCACGAGGTAGCAGCTCAGTTTTCCTTGGACGGTTCTCATCAGTGGTACACGTTTCAGGAATGTCTGGAGAATTGATGGTCCCTACATCAAGTCCTCGTCCTCAGCTCAGCGCAGCTCAGAACGCCTCCAGCCGTCCAAAGCTGCTGCCCCTGCAGGCTGGATACGAAGTACTGTGCGAGTGTGCGGCAGGGCGAGGCGGGGGGGAGGGTTTGCTAGGGCTCGGGAGTGGAACTGGTCCCAGCCCCAGCCCCGGGTGTTTCATGCAAGCGCTTCTGTTTCCAAGGGAAGATTTGCTAGTCATTTGGAGACGCGGCGAACGAAGTCCAAGGCTAGGAGCTTCAATGCAGCTGTTTCCTGTAACCTGTGTCAGATAACTGATGGCTCTGACATCATCATGTGGTGCCTCGGCTGCAGCTCCAACTTGTTCCAATCGGGGAGAAGGGATCAGTGGTAAATGGCGAGACCCAGATAGTTGCAACGAGTGTAGGCACTGCAGCGACGGCCGAGAGTTCAAATGGCTCATCCAGGACGGCCTGATCAAGCTTCTCGGGCTCACAAGATTCTGACAGCTTTGGCTCGTGCCTGGCCCGGCCAAGCTACCGAGGCTCCAGGCCAACCCCAGCTACTGCTTGGTGCTCAAGCGATCCTTCCAAAACTCCTGCCTGTGCGCGGTTGCATCTGCTAACTTCCTCTGAGGTATGAGCGTCCGCGAAGGCAGAGCTGGAGATGGCAGGAGGCCCAGAATCCACGCATGGATTCTGTCCGCAGAGCTCAAGAAGTGCGTTTAAGCCCATGGACTACAGACCGAATCTGCCCAGATTTGCCCAGCAGCATCAGACTACATAGAGACACTAGCTTGCAGGATCGTTGGCCAGGCCTGTCTTTCTACATACAGAACTACGTAATTTACGGTACAGCGCTGGTGGAAGTAGCAGAATCACCGTGCACTACGAGCGATAGCAGTGTAATAGCCCACGACAGCCCCAATGTCGCCCACTGCTGTGCTGGACCACAGGTCAACAGATTGATCTGTCTGTTTTTTCAGTTTTGCGCTTTTCGCGCTGAGGCTCCGACATCATCCTCTGGAGCTGTGCACGCTCCAACGCTGTGTCCTGGGGCATGCTCGATGCAATGCAGTACATGCAAAGTCTAAGTGTAGAGATCTGTTGGCGCATGGCAACAGACTTGTTGCTAACATTGCCAAGGCCTACCGCTGGAAAGTTGACGGTGGCTCCATCGTGCGAACAGCTGAGCAAGGTACAGTAGTGTAGCCATACATGGAAGGCAATCAGAATGCCATGCGACACGACG